ACTGATGCATTAATATGTAAGCAATATTGTAGCGGGTCAAGGTGGAGTGCTCATCCTAATTACTCCCTATTACTGTTGGGTTGTTTAATCAATAAAAATGCATATTTAATTTTATGTAAAAAGTCGTACCTAACTGGTAACTGCAGCTACAACTAAATGCAGTAAAGAGTGAAATATTTGCCTCTGAAACTGAGTGGCGTAGGTATAAAATAGAAAAAAAAAAGTGCACTAGTGTTAAATGTATGTATTTAAAAAGGATTACATTTACTAAGATACTTTCTACCACGTTCACTCAAGACAGGCCCGTATTGGTCCCATTTTGGCTCCGCTGCTTTACTGTGCAGATCATTTTTGTGGTCTACTTCTTACAGAAGAATGAAACTATCCCTCTTCCTATAATCCGATCCATTTTTGGTGAGGTTGGGCTGGGAGACAGACTGAGTAATTAATGCATGTGCAGACACTGTCTGTACCACGCCTCACTCTGCCAGTTAGGTGAAAGTTTTCCACTGAAATAAAACCTGAACCCACGTCTTTCTCTTTTTCTTCTGATGCAATAATATGGTGGCGAACTTCCGATACCACGATGAACCAGATCCACTGACTAGACATGACATTTGAGTGCATGACTGTATAAACACTTTGGTCCAAATGGGCGTGTAACATGAGAACTGTAACTATTGTTCATTTTTACTGTGTGTTGTAGTGTGTGTGTGTGTGTATACTGGTATCTGACATCTGGTGGCTGTGTTGCCTCTGCCCCCAGCATAAACCGATAGCCAGAGCTGCTGAAGAGATGCTAAAAGGAGAGAAGAAGATATTCCCAGTCTTGTCGTCATCGCTCAGCTTTTTGAACAAATCCAGAGAGAATGTGGTGTTGGCCTTGGATAGAGGGACTGATGTCGCCATTTTGTCTATAATAAAAAGAGGATAACAGAGCATTATTAATACCATTCTGATAAATTGCAAGATTCCCTGATTATGTGACATTTAAATAGCTGTAAAATAATTATAATTGGTAGAAATCAGTCTCTTTTTCAGCCACAAGTGGAGGTAGAGGTGAGAATATTTCTTTTTCTGCATTCTCCATGAAGCTGAATGAAACCCAAGTCTCTCGCCTCTTGGTTTAATTGGCTATCCAATATTGTTTTGAAATTTTAAGCAGCTTGCTCAAACCTTTAGAATACAGTATCTTTCAACAGCACTATCCTTTCCTAGACATGTGTACACAAATCCCCATAATTCCAATTTTTCACTCATTGATAAATTTAAATTGATTTAGGTCCTTAAAAAAGTCTCCAAACTAAGTAAAATCACACAGACATTGCTCATCATTACTCAACCGCAGTTGTCTTTGGAAACCAGGTGAAAGGCCATAAGTCAAGAACTGTTAGCTATGTAAAGCCTGTCGCTGAAGCCTGCTATCTTCTGATTTCACTCTTATCATCAAAATGAAGAGAGAATAATAATAATAAGGTACATCCTGTAAGTTACTTACTGAGAGAAACTCTTCTTCAAGCCAAGTAGTGATCCAGAATGATTAAGTTACAGAAAAATGTGTTCTATTTAAGCCACCCCTGTGTCACACTTTCACACTGACGCACCCAAACTCAAGAAGGTCTTGCCACAGCTTGAGAAAGTATCTAGAAATCACATCCCTCAGTGAAAGACACACCCACCCATGTAATGCTTTGGGTATTGTGCCAATGGGTGTGCTTTGTAAAACAAATGTACTAACCACAGACACCCCACATAACCCTGGATAGAATAAACTGATACAGGAAAGGTTGAGATGAATGGACAGATAGACGGCTGAAAAAACAATCTTCAGAAACATCAGGATACAGATGTGATTATCACATTAATGAGGGCACTGTGAATCAAGAAATGTATCAAGCTATTCATATGTTTCATATTTTTAACACAATAGTTTTAACAGAGCTTATATATATGTTATTAGTGGGACATTATTACTATATTTGCCATCTCTGTCAGCTCTGTGGGTCATTTTGTTTTTGATTCTTCAAGGGACAAATGCAATGACCAACAATGCAGGGAGACAAAGAAAAGAGTTATTCAAATGTGTTCCTTTGGCATATGTTTGTTCACTATTGCCTTGAGGGTCAGGTTAAGAATTTAAAAATATAAGGCCTGCACCGGTTATTATTTCAGTGCTTAATTCTTTATATGTGCGTGCAGAAACTGTGTGGTTGTTGTCTCTGCATTTTGTCACTTTAAATATCTCATCTCATCTCTTTGGCTTTGGTATTTGGTTTTGGTATTAGGCGTGAAAGTGTTCTGCTTTCTGTTTTTATAGGAACTTATACAAATGAGAGAGTGCAGGGTTTAATAGCAACCAGGCACCACAAAGCCTGATTTTAGTTCATTCAGTTCCTGTTCTGGGGTTAAGTGTGTGCTAACCACTAAAACCATACTGCACATTTGGTTAGAATGGTCAGAATGGTTGTGTTTGAGATTCATCACTTCATCTACTGCTTGTTGCTATTAGACAACAATGTATTTTAATTTCAGTAATTCATGCTTTAACTTCCTTTTGAAGTGAGTTGGAATATACTAAAGGGGAATAATCTCCAAATGGTGGGGATGGAAATGTATGATTTGCTGAATGTTGGATCAAACAGGACCAATGAAAGTTAAAAGACTTCTCTGACTTAATGCCAGATACTTTTCCAAGTGTAGCCATTGTCAAGGGACACTTATATCCATTACTATATGAGTTGGTTTCATTCAGTTTGTTCCAGGGATCATTAGTGATAGGCTCGCTATTCACATAACAGGGCTATTTTACATTATACAACATTATATGATCTCTACAAGGTAAATACCGTCTTTAAAATACCTCTCAGAAGGCTATAATGAATGAATATAGAAGAAGATGTGCTGAGCAGCAACCACTACTACTTCTGTACTGCTGAGTTACAGTAGGCTACAGTACAGTGCGGCACAGTATTATGTGTGTTACAGCGCCCTCATCTGTGCACATTGAAGCACTGCAGCTGTCGTGGTAGTGAATTCAAGCGAGCTACCATGAATTGGACAGGGACGGAGGTAGTGCAGTGGATAAATAGCAACAGGGCAATCAGATATCGGGCTGTATGTGTATAATAACATTATTTTCTGAAGGGGAGAGATACTGGCCTTCTACGGTAAGCGAAAGTCATTGTCATCATGCGTCATGTTAGCTTTGTCCACACAGGCTGCCCGTCCTAGCTGACTAGCTAACGTGAAGGTAATGTGATAGCCTTATAGCCCAGGGTCGCTCAGTGGGACAGAGGACACGCCAAACGCTGTTCAAAAAATGTGTTGATTAAGCGTTGCCTTACATATTATTGGCAAAATGCCTGAAAGGAAATAAAAGAAGACATTTGACGAACTATTTAGAAATGCCTCACGATTCGGCGTGAATATAATATTATAAGTAGCTATTATTTTAATAAAATGTTAGTTAGCCTACTTTGTTTGGACTATTGTGAATAGCAACGTTAACAACTGTATCTAACGTTAGCTGCTGCTGTTTGACTGACTCAGAAATACTGGTTTTAATTGTTATGTCCGGTGATTACTTCTTATACAGTATTTACTATATTACCTAGCTGTTGTAGCCATTGTGGCTCCCAGTTGTACCTGAACCGAGAGGCAAATCAGGGCAACGTTACACTTAACGTTAACTCGCCAATTTTGTTAATGGAGTTCGTATTGTTCAGAAATAGGACGTCGTCTATCGCGGTCAGGTTAGCTCGCTCGCTAACCTCGCCTGTCAAAACACTAGCCACGTCGTTAGCCACTGTGAGAAAACATGACTTCAAAGAATGAAGCCGGATATTAGCTCTGTTGGCTCCAGACCAGGCTCATTCGTCATGTGTCCGAAGCGCATTAACAGCTGTACGAGAGTGTGTGGGCCGCATGAATGATGTGTCACTTTGTTTACTCCTTATATTTACATCTGTGTGGTCTTTACACCTAGTAACGTGTATCACTTGTTATTAGGGTTTTCATTTCTAGTCATAGGGAGGTGCAGGGTTGGCTCCACTGATGCTGAATTAATGTGAACGCGTCTGACAGGTAGCCTCCTACAGACAGTGGTTTGATGCTCTCTTTGATGAAAACCAACATGCAGGTTCCTCAAATCATTGCATCTCCCTCTTTGCTTCCTCTCTTACTGCTGCACACTCTGTATCTCCTTCCTGTTTTCGTCTCTTTATCCTCTTGTTATCTCTTTCTCATCTCTTTATCTGGAAAGAAAACATTATGGCTCATTTCTTTTTGCAGCCTTCACTAGGGTTGGGTCGGACTTCAGTTGGAACAGATGGATGAAAGCTAATCAATTGACAAGATGATCTGACACACTAATTATCTGCAGATCTTTACAGGCTTTTTACCCGTCGTGAATTTTACACATAATGCACTAATCCATAAATTATGAATGACATGTGGCTCGTGTCAATAATTCAACAGCCCTCGCAGTCTGGTACCCTTATTTCAGGATAATGTTGGCCGACAGATTCTGCTCCATTATTGTACGTTTTAAGATCCCATTTTTTCAGTCTGTATTTAGGAAAGCTCATAGCGAGTTTTGGCCGTGATAATACAATGAACATACCAAATGATTCCTGTCATTTCAGGGTGTTCAGAGTCCTCCGTCAGGCCCTCAGGGTGAGCATCACTGCTTCTCTTCGTCATCACACAGCTACGCTGAAGCAAGGCCAGGTCAGCGTAGGTGTGAAGGACCGTTGACTACTGCGGTGGCGGGGCAAGAGCACGCAGCTCAGGAAGATGGCATCACCCTTTGTGCCTGTCCCTGTGCCCATGGACAGAGCCTTGTCAGGAGGCAGCGGCAAGCTCAGACGGCCACAGCGAGCTTCATCGCTAGGCAGCGTCTCCAGCAGCTCGTCCTGTTCCTCTATCCCCAGGGCGGCCGGGGAGGACCACGGGAGAGGATGTGGAGCGTCGGGTTCCCAGCACCAATCCCGCTGCATGGACAGAGGCGGCCGGAGCAGGACACCGCCCCTCCAGAGCCCTGTGGCACGGGCCATGGTGAATGGGACTCTGGAGCCCTCCATAGAGTACTCCAGCTGCCCCCGCTCCATATCTGACCCTGTTGGCAACCAGCAAGGCGAGGAGAGGCCTATCACCCCCACTGTGCTGGGGTATGAGGTCATGGAGGAGAGGGCCAAGTTCACGGTATGAACCCAGTCAATCGACTTATATGACATCATGACAACCTTTTGGAACTAGCGCTGTATATGTGGCACAGTTCACACGTGTTAAGTGCTAAATGCTACATTATTTAGCCGGTATTAACATGTATGTTGGCAGCATGTGAACCTATTCGTCTAACCTGTTTTCCTTGCGTTACAGTGACTGAACGTCTATTTTACACAGTAAAATATCCACCACATGCTTACTGGCAGCATAAAGACATGCTCACTTAGGAGAAGCCGCAATATGATGCATTATAGATGTTAAAAGTTTAATTTTAACATTTACTCATCACACAGACATTTCTAATTTGGATGCACATCAATCAACGCACAGCAGAAGAAGAGAAACGAATTGTTCTGCAGCAGTAATAACAGATGAGGTGTCAGTGGGTTTTCTTCGCTCCATTACAGGAGCTGAAGGTTGGGGTACAGTTAGGGGCTGTGTTGAGAAAAGAGGGGGACAGGTATAACTAACATAAATTGTATTAAAAAAATGTGAGTATGGGGGGAGTTCCTTCCTATCACCTCAGCAAAGAAGACAACGTGGCTCTAAATCTTATTTACTTCAGTATGTTGTGTGTGATACTTGTTGTGACACATGTGAAATCCTCCTGGCAAAAAGCAACAGCTCTACAGCAGTTGTAAACAAGGCTTTAAGATCGTGTATATGTGTGTGTGTGTGTGTGTGTGTGTGTGCTGTCTTATCTCTGCAGGTATTTAAGGTCCTGGTCAGGAAGACTCCAGATGAGAGCTGGGTTGTTTTTAGAAGGTACACAGACTTCTCCAGGCTCAACGACAAGGTGTGTTTGGGTGTGTCTGTTCATATGTTTGCAAATGCTACTTTGTGTGGTAACAGTGGGCAGTCCCAGATCTCTGGAGAAGGGTCCAGCTTGGGCGTTCCCGTCATGACACAAGACCGGCCTACTGGGCGTCCTGGAGCGGTTTCATCGACCAACTCGAATTCATACTTTGCAGTCACGTGGTTACCATGGATACCTGGCGGGCAGAAAACGCCGACTTCATCTGTCTATTATAACGTTAGTACATTTCGAGTGAAGTAGATTTAATAGACGTAGATTGAAGTCAGAAAACAATCACAGTGATCTTGATTTTGTTTTATTTAGTTTGACAAATTCATACCAGGACTTGAATTACAGCGGTGATATAAATCACATGAGGAATTATTGCCTTGGTTTTTCCGTTCATTACTAGCGACGTTACGACGTACAAAAGAATAAAAGCATTTATGTGATGGGTGGGCCATGTTGCAAAACCTCGTAGATTTACAACAGCAGAACATTGAATTAAACAATGCAACTGTTTAGTTTTAATTTACTTGGGTGAAAGCAAGTGCAGCGCTGTTTCCTCCGCCTTCTTGAATGCATGGCCAGGGGCAAAACGCGACGTCGCTGGCAAGATCTTCAGGTTAGTTTACTGGGTTTCTGCTGGAGAACAATGTCTTTGGCCGCCGAGCCATGAGTTGTGGACGTCCTGTGCAGAAGTATGAATGTCTCAAAACTCGTAGGAATAAACTAGTCCTACACGTATGTAAGCATATTAAGGGGATGTGAACGGACTAACGTTCTGTAGAATGGCTTAGGCTTGCTAACGTTAGTTCTCATAACCACATTTTAGCAGATATCTAGATCGTTATTTTGGAAACTTCTGTGAGAAAGCAACTAACTAAGGCGATTTATATCAGAAGACCGGATGTTTTGACAGTTACGGGTTCAGCAAAAAAGAAAGGCGAAGAATTGAAGGGGGGTTGCCAGTCAGCGAACAAACGGGAACCCCCATCCAGCACGAGAACGCCCAGTCTTGATGGCTGCAGTTGGATGATATTGGATCTCTGGCCTATGTGTATCTTTATTTTGCAATCGTCCGTCCATGTATGCAGACAGTGTTTTTGACTATCAATGTATTGCTTTGAGCATGCATTCTTTTGTTTTTGAGTGCACTGTGGAAGTGATTAGAGCTACACAAAGAAGCCTTCTGTTCCCAAATAGCCAACAGGCCAGTGCCAACAAGGGGAACAGGTCTCCCGTGGTTTCAGGAAAGACAGCGTAGTCACAGATTACAGAAGGGAAACTAAAGCCATGTGATGATACTGTAAGAAACTTCCAAAAAAGGTGATTGTTAGAAAGAGGCAAACAGGCAAGACTGATCTCTATAGGCCTGCAAATATTGATTAAACCTATTACTCCAATTTACTAATGCGGACAGAGTAAACCCAGGCAAGAAGCGTGGAAACGGAGTAGATGGGAACACCCTACATTCATCACAGAGAGAGAGGACAGGAGGGGGTGTGGACATCCTTTCCTCCATTCCTGTGGCTTTTGCACAGGCAGCTGTAATCTTCACGCTGTGCTGGATGTTCTGTTTCCATGCATGTAATATTGTACAGGCCTGATAGGTCATACATGTAACTGGTTGGAAACATTTCAACATCAGGTGCATTTTTTCAGCATGAACATTTGGATCATATTCTTATGTGTATTCATTAATACAGTTAGAGTTATTTAAGAGGACTTGCCTGCTGCTCATGAACCTTACAGACAAACCAAACAGATACCTATTATGGTCAACACATGATCAGGTTTTCAAAGTGCAGCGCTGCCTTCACACTGGGTGGCTGGCACCAAATATTATTTGTGTAGTAGTTTGGACCTCAGCCAACAGTGCTCCACAGTTTTTGCACATTGCTCAAGCTTACCAAGTGTTAAAACAAGTAGGTGTGCATACATACACACACAAATCCACCCCCTGCTGAGCAAACTGACATCAGGACCAGTTACCAAAATACAAAGCTGACTACATACAATCCAAAACAGCTTTATCTTTATCTGCATACATCTGTTTTGAGGATTTAGCAAATCACCAAGCACTCATCCATCAGGAGGCAGAAATGGAGGTAGGCATGATTTAACTTCTAAGGCTCCATTAGCAAAGTTCAATGAACAGTAGACAGTAGACAGGCATTTGGAAATATTTAGTTCCTCCTGAAATGCACATAATATTGTTTTTTAACTGTGACCACCTACAGAATACAGATAGTCCTAGTTCTTGATAAAGAGTAGCAACTGGTCAATTTATTTTATTTTATCGCATTGTGGCAAGTTTTCATGTCAGCAAAGGTTTAACAACATCTGCAAAAACACCACCCCTGCAATGCAATCCCCCTCAGTGCTGTCCATTGGTATGCTCTGTATGTTCCACTGTCATATTGTAAAAATCTGGACAAATAACGTCTGCTCTGTGGCAATTGTAAACCTTACGCAGTTGAGATTTAATGTCAATCATTCCACTTACCCACTGAGCAGCTATGCTGGAGACCAGGGTGAAATTTCAAAAGTTATCCAGTTTTGCAGCCAGCACATTTCCTCCCATCAGTCATATCTCAGAATGAGGCTGGGAAAGAAATGTTTAAATAGTGATATCGATATTGGCAAAATGCATCTCTAAGGCTCTAATTGACAGCAGTGTGGCGCCGGCATAGTTGGTTTGTTGCACGCAACGCTATGAATGGACCTGTATACATATGCATACTTTATGAAGAACTTCAACTAAATAAACTGCGTTACCTGTTAATATAATACTAAAAGCTCATTTTCACACACAGAATCTTGTTTTTTGTTTTTTACGTGTCATTTGAAATATATGATTTTTTACATGCAGAAAAAAATAAAAGCAAAGAAACTGACCTTAAAATCAAATTTGTTATCAACCCTTACAAGGTGGTTATTTATTAAGGGGTACAGATTTTAGGAGACACTTATGTGTCACTAACTTATCCAGTTTTGTCTGTGTTACGTCCATGCATGTCAATAACCTCATATTGTCTTTAACACTGAATAGTATTATTTTACTGCAACTGTGTGTACTGTAGGAGAGATCATGTGATACTCTATCATCTATTATTACTATCTATTCTTTACTCTGTCTGTTTGTTCGTGTGTGTGTGTTGTAGCTGAAGGAAATGTTCCCAGGCTTCCGCCTCTCACTGCCTCCTAAGCGGTGGTTCAAAGACAACTATGACACAGACTTCCTGGAAGACAGACAGTTGGGGCTACAGGCCTTTTTGCAAAATCTGGTTGCACACAAGGACATTGCCAACTGGTATGTGAAATGGTTATGGTGTGTTTTTCATGTTCAAATGGTTTTATGTACCAACTACTTCCTTTGCAGAGTAGTCACCTGATAATTGATCATTCTTGCTTCTAAATAATAATTCTAACATTAAAATACTTTTTTTATTGTGTTACTGAGCACAACTGTTCAAAAACAACAAACATGCACACAGACACATTTATGTTACAACATTTGTTCTCCTTGACAGCCTGGCAGTGAGAGAGTTTCTGTGTCTGGATGACCCACCTGGGCCTTTTGATAGTCTGGAGGAGAGCAGAGTAAGTGTGCATATACACGTGAGAGTGTGTGTGCTCATGTACTGTTTGTGTGTTTGTGCTGCTATTCATGTCACTTCAAAGCCTTTTAAATAGGATTCTTGTCATTGTAGTAGACTTTAGACTACTCTATTTTATATTTAACCCTGCGGCTGCTGCATCAGGGTTGGAAAAGTTTGAGTTACCACACTTTTTCAATTTAGTCTAGTCTAGGATTACAGATATAAAAAAAACCCAGACACAGTCCCAAAAACAGGAAAAATACATGCAAGCTCTGTGACTGGAGAGGTTTCATAATTTCTCTCTCATTGTTTAAAGCTGATGTCTCTGCTCCTCTGTGTGATGTTGCATATCAGATGCGGTTTTTGAATTACTATTAAATCATGCTTTCTAAAAGTGTTTATGCTCAGCAATATAAAACAGTATTAAAGTTACTACCAAACCTCCATATGGCCACTGTATTTAAGCCTTTAAAATTATACCCAGTCTTACATTTTACAGGGACATGAAGTAGCTTGATGGCATTTGGTGGCGAGGGCAGGGAGTCACTCTCATTACAGCAGGCACTTAAACATGTCAGTTCCACTTGTACCCTATGAGGCCCTCATAAAACAGCCTACTTGACCTGGAAAAAGTTTCAGGCTGACATCTCGAACATGTCTGTCTAAAACTGTTTAATTATAGATCGAACATGTGACTTTAGATTAATATATGATCTGTCTTTAGCTTTACTTGTTGAAACTCCTACTACTCCTACTTGTTCCTCCATCCAAACATGTTATCCCTGACTGCTCCTCTGTTGCTTGTCACAGTTTGCCTTGCACATTTAGTTTTCTCTGTAAATAGATATTTTCTGTTCTTCTTTTCTCCGATGCTGTTTCCCTCCAGGCGTTCTGTGAGACTCTGGAGGAGAGCAACTATCGCCTCCAGAAGGAATTGCTAGAGAAGCAGAAGGAGATTGCTTCCCTGAAGAGGAGGCTCGAGGAGAAGGAGCAGGCCATTTTGCGACTGGAGAAGCATGTCAAGTCAGTTGACAGGTGCACATGCACAAACACACTCACACATACACTATAAAATATATGGATTTAAGGGTTACACACAGTGTTAGGCTTTCCATCTGAAGGATGGAGAAAAATTGAAGTCAACAAATGAAATTGAAAAGAAGATAAAAGCAGGTTTATACAAAACAACAGTAAAGCTGACATTTGGAGAAAATAATGCCCTTTCAAGAAAACAAATGATCAGAACGGGCTGTAATGGTCAGAAATTCACCTGGACTAGGCAGGAACACGGGGCTTTAGTTCACAGTCCCAAAAGATGAACTTGTTCATATTTTTTTCTTCCGTTTTATTATCTTTGAATGCCTTGTTCAATAGTGTCTCCACTGGCCTTCTTGAAGCCTGGAAGGCTACAAACATCCAACTAATCTAACAATGGCTGCGTGTCTGTGTGTCTGTGTGTGTCTGCCTGACCATCTGTCTGTCCCAGTGGTGAGTGTGTGAGCCCTGAGTCTCTGTGTGATCTGTCAGCTCAGGGCAGTGAGAGCAGTGCAGATGCAGATGTGGAGTCGTCTGCTGCAGAGGCTGATCAGGACATGCCTGATGACACTGGGTAAAAAACACACACACAGACACAGTAGTGAATGAGATGTAGGTTTAAACAGCACACATACAAACTCAACTCAGACAGCCACATGATTAATCAATAGAGTAACAATTAAGTATTTAACCTTACGACACCGTTCTTGCTCTTACCACACAGAGCTCTATTTTCCCTTGGAAACGGAATCCAAAGTTAATTTCCTAATGTTTCTAGGAAGTGGTTTAAGGGTCAAGGATAAGGTTGAGTGGTGAACGAGGAATGCTGCACATGAATCATTTTAAGGAGCATTCATGCGCTGAGACCTTAGCTTCCTTCTGTCAGGTTAACAGGCTATGTACATACGTAATGTTTCACCCCTTTTTTTGGTCATCTGTCTCGCGCTCGTATGACGGAACACATACACTTCTATTTCGATCAATGCAGCTGTCTTCAAAGGCCACATAAAGGCTCACGTTTCACTAACCGCGACCTGTTTTTCTTCCATTTTACACATGTACCATAACTAAAGTGAGTATGCTGATTGTAAATTCAGCACAATGCACTTTTCCAGCATTAATATCATCAGTACATTAACATAGTCATCCCGTTACTCAGCACTCACCACGATCATTGTTCTATGAGCAGCGAAGTATTTTTTGATGAATTCCTTTTGTGCACTTGTTTTTCTTGGTGTTAAGCTGCTTTTTTTGCCAATTAAGCCTTTCAGTGAAGTAAGGTGCTTATTCCCCATTAACCTCTGGAAGCCCTTAATGTGAAACAGACGGAGGATGTGTTGAGTTAACTTCAACAGCAACATGTCAAATGGGAGCAGACCTGGAGGCTTTTTACTAATACATGATCACATGTACTAATGTAAAGCAGGAGGAAATGAAGGCTGGTTCTCTCTTCTGTTGAGACTATGGCTGATTGACTGTCTACCGTAGTGAGCTTGATTGATAGGAAATAGTGAGGGGTTTTCCTGCCTCTGCTTCTACTACCTAATCAACTTACACAGGAGGAAGTATTGATCTCGAACAGACACAAGACTTAACTAATCACATTTTCTTTGATTCATCAATCCTTACCATCAGCCTGATTTTCTGTGCTGCTTTCACTTGTTTGTCAAACCAACTTATTAGCTTCTCTTATCAGAACATCCTCCCAATTACTGCAGACAGTAGAGACATTATAAAAATTGCTATATATTGTTTTTTCATTTTTTTTTATTACCCATTTATCTCCACATGAGCCCCAGATATCAGTGTTCATTTCCACCATTTCCAACAATCATTGGACATTGGATGGACATATTCTAATGTCAAGAAATGAATAAAACAAAGTTTCCTTCCGTGAATTTCAAGCCAAATGTGTGTCATACTTTTAGACTTGAGCACATCATTCTCTGATTTCACCTTTTTAAATCATTATTTTAAAGGTTTTCCTTTCTTGTGTTTTTTTGCCCTCACATTTCACAGCAGCGCCGCCCCAATCTGAAAAAAGCACCCCATAACGTGTGAGGTACTTCACATACCAGCTCAGCAGGCTAACCCTATGGCATATTCTTCTTTCTTCCTCTTCCTCTCAGTAACATGCATCCCACCGTTAACTACTGTACTATAATGGAGGTGTCTTGTTTTGTGCTATCAAGATGTTAAAGAATAGGTTCGTATTGTGTTCAAGTCTGTCTTAATACAATACTCTCAAGCCATATGTGCGGTTAATTGATGCTGTAATTGTTCCTTCTGTCCATACCGGCTGTATGTATGACATGTGGATATTGTATTAAGATTTACTTGGAAAAAATCCAAACCTATCTTTTAATTGCTTGCAGACAGGATGTTTATCAAGGATGGGGTCAGTTCACTTTCAGTGCATCTAATTTAGGAAGTCCCTTCCCATCCCCTTAAACTCCTGTGGCCTTATGGACACAAAGCTTAAAAGAAGGGTGTTTAAACTCCAGAGGCTTGAGAGTTCTTGTTATTCTTGTAAGAACAAAATTTCAATAGATTCAATAAATTCCAAATAATGAACACTCAAGTACGGCTGTAAGAAAATATTGGAAAATATCATATTGGATGTTTTGTTTTGTGATATTGTATCAATTCTCAAAAATAGCATTGATGTTTGTGTTTATACCCCCACCTGCTAGATAGCAGTGCTGGTGTTGGATGTTACAGGGACTGTGATAAATACAAATTTTATTTAAATGGCAATATATCAAATCTTAATCTCTGTATTGTGATACGTATGGTATCGCCAGATTCTTGCCAAATCACAGCCCTACACTCAAGCGTCCACATCCACTTTTGGATTGATTAACCTGAAAATGACTTGTCCCCAACTGTTCATTGTACTGCAATGTTCTGTGCTCGGTGAACCTTTTGGCTGTGCCACACTGCTCCCCTGCATCATATGTGACTAACACATGCTGCTAGTGCCTCTCTTTCACATGGTGATGTGTGCTCACTATGTGGGAATTGTAAGTTGTCGGATTTCAGGTCCTCCTTCCTCTCTCCCATCTGGTGTCTTGACAGGCAAGGAAAGGTTTTTTGTTATCCAGCTTCTTCCAACCAAGATTTGGATCTCAGCTAGTCACAAGTTGTGTGTTTTCCTGGCACTCCATGGAATATATTGTATGTGCGTGCTATATTTTGGGGATTTAGACTAGTGCTAATCCATTGTCTGTCATGCACTGCCAGATGGAAGAGGGTCAGAGGTAGAGCCTGTCTTCCTGCTGTGTTTTCTGTGGACCTGTACCTATAACTTTCTGGTTGCCGTACAGTATCTGTCTCCTCCCACAAGGATGGCTCTCAAGTTGGCCCATGTTTGCGTCTCTCCTCTACTGTACATATCGTCTTGGGTCCTGTCAGTCTGTCTGGCTTCATGTTGTCTTTAATTTGTGTTGAACGCGTCAGATGCCAAATGTATTTCTTCTGCTTCGACCTCCCTCTCTCTAGTGGCAGGTGTGAGGTCCAGCCGGTGAGATCCTCTGCCTGTTGGTGTGGGCCATCGCTCAGCGCCTCTCCTCCGGTCATCCAGGTCACTCAGCTTTACCACCAGAAGCTGGAACACTAACGCCGAACACTGGTCCTCCTCTTCACATTTTTCCTCCATCTCCTCCCCTTGTAGTCCACTCCATCTTTCTTATGTTTGAGTGCTCCTCTATACCCTTCTTTTGTTTATTTTTGTCCAATTTTTGACCTTAACCTCTCTGTCCCATCACAAACCCCTTTTTCCACGTCACAGATTGTAGCCGCTGTTTCACCTTCCAGTCTTGGAGTTGGATCTGACAGCCTTTAACTCAAGATCTATGTATTAGGTCAAAAGGGAACAGTTTAACACTGCAGCAGCCTGTTTCACTTATATTTCCCCATTTAAAATGGCTTACAGGATATTTTATCTGGCACCTACAAAGGACTGAAGACCATCTACAACTTCCTATAAGGACTATATCTGGAATTACATGGTTATACTTATTAAGACCTCAGACCAAGATGATCTTACTTAAACTGTGTGGGGATTTCTCACTTTTGCACCTCCTACCGTGGCTGCCAGATTGGATCAATTTGATCCTGCAGTCACAAAGCCAAAGTTTGGCTTCTTGACCAAAAAAAATAAGACTTGAAGACTCACACCACCTGGGTGGTTTGACGATTTTCACATTTGTGACAATCCACAGAAAACCTGAACCATCGTCTCACCAGTTTCTGCAGACGTGCTTTGCCTTATGGCTCCTTACTTGTGACAATAGGCCCATTCGCAAGACAGAGAAACAACACCCCCATGTGGCTATAGAAATAAGAAAAAGGTCTGGATAAATGAAATGTTACAAATGTTCCTGCTTTGGTCACCAGGTGGGTATCGCAGAGGATTGTTGACTTTCTCTTTGCAGTTACTTCCATCATGTCATTGCTTTGTACTGCCACTGGCTCTCATTTAGGCTGTAGACAGACATTACTTGAGGCTTCATTGTCTATTCACTTGCACTCAAACTTACTTTGCATCTAAAAGCCTACATTCCCTCATGTTTTAGTGCCATGCATGATTTGTGGTAAACCAAGTCCTGCAGGAGACAGTTAAAATCTGTATCATACCGTAGCAAGAGAGAACCATGGAAATGTGGCCTGTTGTTGTTTTCCCCTGTCACTTTGCTCTTATGCACACACATGCATCAGTTTTCTTCAAGGCATTGATTATGCCAATTAAGTTCAAGTTCATAAATATTTACAACACAACTCTCCACCTCCTATGGCGCTTCGCCTGTTAATAGAGTGTAGACGGGTTTTGGACTTCTGTTAAGAGACACATTTCTAAGGTTTCTGTTTCTTGATACAATTTAGGCAGAAGGATTTTAGTTTGTACTCAAATTACGTTTGGAAAAACTCAACAGCAACTTGTCTTTCCATAAAAATGTTACGGTTATATGGGATAATCCAGAGACCTAATTTTCTAAATGTTTCACTTGGACCACCATCTATTGAGACAGAACCATCATGCATTTCAGGAAGAATTTATTGACATAAGCGACTGATATATCCAGCCTAGCTGGTTCTGTATCACCTTCAAGACTGTTACCAGGCCTACACATCATCCCCAAAAGCCATTTTTTAAAACCCAAATACCACTATGGAGGCAGGGGTTTCACATGTGCTAATGTGTGCTGACCAGCTGTTTAAACTCTTTCATAATGAGTAATGGAGTGTATAATAACCACAGCTAATGCTGAATCGTCTCAAACTAGACCTGGAAAACGGTCATGTGATGCACTTTATGGATGAATGGCAACCCATAATGTTTGCTAGGATATGGTTTTTATTACGTCATTTGTTAGAGACAGAAATGTGCCTTTTCAATCACTGAGATCTAATGTGTTTATATGTAAGTAATGTGTATTGAGTTTTGTTAATGTTTTTTTTCCTTCTGTAAATTCATTCACTATCATTAATAAGTGGCTTCCAACATCTTTCAACTTACTCCTTCTTTTTACCGTGTTTAAAATAGCTTTATAGATTTGTGTAGGACATGAAACAATCCACTATGTTCCACTGATGGAAATATGTTTTAAATGACACCTGCGTATGTATATGTCGTTGCTTGGAAATAGACTAATTCCTATGTTTTTTGTAATACTACATGAATCAATACTCAAGTCTTAGTTCAGCAAAATACAACCATGAGTTGGGATTATGAAAGATTTATATGAACTAACATTTGCATCCACTATTAATGATCTTGGATTTAAAGGGATAAGATCACTGAGAAACGCTGGTCTGAAAATGCAATACTGTAGATACTGGTAGATTACATACTATAGGGCAAATGTTTATCAGAAAGAAATATAAATCAATTCACACAAATGTGAAATGATTATTTAAATACACACGTATGCTTTCTTCATTTAAAGTCGGCTCTCGTGAAATCAGATGGTAATCAGTGTCGTGCTTGGGTGAAATCCAGAAATGTAATAGATCCACTTTCCTTTAGCAGCCATACGGCATTATAATCCTTTACTCCCAAAAATAAATTTGCACCAAGCAACTAGAGAGGGACCTACGCATACTATGTGAGCAAACACTTATAGCAACGCTTATCGGCACGGCTCAGGGGATCTGGGATTTGTCTTTACACAGGTGTAGCTTTTCAGCAGGATTTTTCCATGCAGATTATTTTGAGTTTTTATTGAACATTCACTTTAATAAAAACTAATGATGGATGATCAGGAAAAACAAGAAACAGTCTTTGTTCTTATGCCATTGAAATGTTTTTATGACCGCAGTTTTGTTTGGGTTCCTTCGGGGGGGGTGATATTTCCTCATTGTCATTTCTGTCCATGTCCGCAAGGACCTTTCTTATACCAAGCTGTACACGAGCATTACTGTAATCAATTGTTGCCCATCTGCACGGCTGATAGTGATATTGTTTTGATGGAAGAATGATCCTGGGCAATCCATACTCCCCTAACAAAGTTGTCCTACACCCCTGAGGCCTCATTCATAAAACGATTTTAGGTTCCGTTTTGACTTAAGCAGAAAACCCAATTTTGGAGTCGTTTTTCTGCCATGGGAATTATCTCCCTAAGTCAAGTCTAGATCCAACGGAATAAAATTGTCAGATTCAAGAGCTTTGAATAAAAAACCCAGGAAATGCGTATAAAATCTAACATTTTTATAAATTTAAGCTGTGATAACATTCATCCCAAATTCTAAACTGTACAGGTGCATGCTCAATAAATTAGAATATCATGACAAAGTTAATTTATTTCAAGTAATTCAATTTCCAAAAAGTAAGGTCATATATCCAAGAAAACTCATGTAGATTGGCATTACACCCACAGAGTGAAATATTTATAAGCCTTTATAAATTAATTTTGATGATTATGGCTTGCAGCCTAACGACACATATATATCATACATCAGAAAAATTAATACATCATAAGACCATACATTTAATACAGAAATGTCGGCCTACTCAAAGTATGTTATATAATGGCACTCCAATACTTGGTCGGGGCCTCCTTTTGCATGAATTAATTGCATCAAAAATGCAAGCGTGGCATGGAGGTGATCAGCCTGTGGCCCTGCCGAAGGTGCTTTATGGGAAGTAGTTGCTTTGATATGCCTTCAGTCATCTGCCATTAGGTGGGTCTGGTGTCATCTCATCCTTCCTCTTGACATAGCCCATGAAAGAATTCTCTATAGATAAGGTCCAGGCGATTTGCTGGCCAATCAACGCACGTAAAAACCATTGATCTTGAACACAAGGTATTGGTACTTTTTTGCAGTGTGGGCAGGTGACAAGTCTGCCTGGAAATGATCAGCATCTCCTCTTTCAGGCAAGACTGTCTCATCTGGTAGAAATGGCTGATATAAGGATTATAGATATAGAAAACAAAAAGTGGACAACCACCCCAAGCCAGATGACATGGCTCCCCAAAATCCATCACTGACTTGTGGAAACTTCCACGCTGGAGACTAAAAGGCAACCTTGGATTCTATGCGGTTTTTTAGCTCCTTCCCTCCAGACTTTGGATGCAGCTGACTCCAGCCTCCCAGTCGCACTTCTCCGTGAATCTCGCCCAAAAGTCTTGAATGGTCGTTTGGCTTCCAATCCTCCCTCCCAAGGCTGCGGTAATCCCTGCTGCTTGTGCCCTTTTCCTACCATACTTTTTCCTGCCCAAAACTCAACTTTTCTATGATATGGCTTGGATATTGCCAGGCTTCTTTTAGGCAATGACGCTTTTGTGGCTTTGTGGAGGGTGGCCGATGACTGTCCTCCCCTGGACAACTGTTTCAAACCAGCAGTCTTCCCCCCGCAATGATTGTGTAGGCCTAACTGAACAGACTAGAGACCGTTAAAGCCCAGGAAACCTTTGCAGGTGTTTTGAGTTAATTAACTGATTAGAGTGGACCATCCGTGAGTCTACAATATTGAACTAGTTACTAATATTCTAATTTTCTGAGATACCTGATTTTTGGGGTTTTCATTAGCTGTAAGACATAATTCGTGCAAAAATTAAATAAATAAAGGCATTGAAATATTTCACTGCTGTGATTCCATGTGTAATGAATCCTTATTAATAACTAGTGAGTTTCCACTTTTTGAATTGAAATACTCGAAATAAATTAACTTTATCCATATGATTATACAAATTTATTGAAGATGCACCTGTACGTTGGGTGGCGCAGCAGGTAAAGTAAGGTTTATCTCTAGGGCAATTTTGAAAGACATTAAGTTGACAAAGCTGAGAGTTACAGTGCAAACCAGATGGCAACCCAGGTACAGCATGGCACACTGGTTTGGTTTATGTTGATACACTAACAGATACAAATATCAGGATAATCTGTTTAAATGTACTCCACTCCCATCCCAAGAAGGCAGGACAGTATGGACAAAATTGCTCCCCCAAACTTATCAACTGAAACAAGTACTTAAACCATTATGATGATGCAGTAACTGTACACCACGATATAATGAATCATTATTGTATTCTTTTTGTATGTGGTGTGTTACACAGAAATTATAAAGCCAGAAATAAGTCTGTGTTTGAATAAGTGTGAAGAGTTTGTATGAGAAAAAGTCCATCCCAAAACAATTCCCCTGAACTTGTGACAAGGATGCAGCTTTTCTAGACCTTTGCTGTGTGTTGTAAGCTCAAGATTTGCCATTGCATTGCAAGATGCCAGATTTATGTGCCGAGCAGTCCAGGTTAACTAAAGCTGTACCCCAATTATAGTTTACTGGCTTGTTAGCTTACCCCTTTTGCTTTAATATAATTAAGTTTATTGGTATGTTTTCTAAAAGTAAAGGGTTCGAGGTTTATATGATCTAGGGCCCCTAGAGTTTTATCTGTTTCTGTGTAATGTAAAATCACATACTGCCGTATCTAAATAAGGTCTTTTTTCGTTGGCTCCATCAGACCCCCGATATTAACATTCCCCTCACAAAGATATATTCAGCGCCTTAATTAGTTTCCAGCTTCCACCAACTGCTGAATTAAAAAGAAATTACGTTGTCCTTGAATGATAAGCTAGCAGGGTGCAACTTACTGTAATGAAGCCAAGCCCAAGGAAGGTTCTAAGAGGTGGCCAGTTGCCTGCTGGACAAGTCTCTTCAAACCTAAACCTATTCAGACAACGACCCTGAATTTACTATAGACAGTTTAATCCATGTTAATCCATGTTAAAGTGGAGTATTGGACTGGCCTTCAGTATGGAATTTTCCAGGTAACAGTCATTGTGAGTCTGGTTGGGGATTTCTATTATGTGACCTTAAACAACAGTGAAGCATCTAGATTCTGGATGTGCATTGTAAATGAAAAGGGATCCTACTGGAAAGGTTAGCTCTCATTTAGGTTCAGTAAAATTTATGCTGCTAATGGTATACTGCTGTTAAACACAGATGAGAAGTTTTAACAACACTGCCATGGCGGGAATGTGCCACCATCTGGGGAAATTCAGGGTCCTGTTTCTGTTTATCTTCAAGTCTCTTTAGTCTCTTCAAACCTAAACCTATTCAGACAACAACCCTGAATTTACTATAAACTGCTTAATCCACTTTAATCCACGTGGAGTAGAAACATGGAAAAGTTAGTTTTCATTTAAGAAGGTTGCATAGGATTTGTGCAGCAGCACCAAGTGATAATGGTAGGCCATTGTTAAACACTGCACCAAAACCTAAGGTATACCCCCTTCTTCTATCCACATGTTTCCTTCCTCTGTATACAGTGGCTGTCAAATAACAAATCTTGAAAACCAAAAAATGTACCAAAGATATTGAAAGATATAATATAACGGTAAAGCTAAAAAAAATCATACATTCACTTTGTGATCAAATATTTCCCGCATAGCCATAACAGAGGAAGACACCATTTTGGAGGTTAAATCAAGTCATTCTATTGAGGAAATAGTTATAGATTTTGGAAAATTTCACATTCTTGCACTGTTACATGAGAAGAGAAGATTAATAGCGCTCTCACATCTATACTGTATTAAACTAAAGACAACAGTCGATAGCGTGTTAGCTTAGGGGAAAACCACTAGCAACAAAATCTGCCAACCAGCAACTCTAAAGATCTCATTTCATACTAAAAAAAGTGTAATTGTAATTATCCCTGTAACATGTTCAAGTTAAAAGAACATACAAGACAGAGCATGGGGGCTACAGAGGTGGGGACTAGAGTCACACTTTGTTGCACACACAGTGATCATAGACTCATCCTCAAAAGACTCAAGACTCGACTTGGACTTTGCAACTGATGAAGAATTTTTATTTTTTTGCTGCTTTACCTTTAAGGAAATGTCTGTCGAGCTGAATGTCATTCTCTCCCTTGCTCGTGTGCAACCTTAAGCATTGTGCGTTCGGCCACAAATGACGGACTGCATAATAGGGGGAAGGTCTATCACCACTTTCATTCAGCAACAGACAA